ATTTTTAATCTAATTCAGACTTTTTTCTAAAAAATTTTTAATTTCAACTAATTTAATCAATGGGAAATTCGTATCCTCAACGTTTGGGGTATACTCCGATCGTTTTGCACGACGATGACGGTCGTATAATGATGACGCGCTTTGAAACAATAAAACGGTAGCGAACAAAAATAATATAATAATAACAATAATGAAAAAAAAAAAAACGACAACGACTAATGACCAAAGTTTATTGGTTTTCGTCGTCCCGCGAGCGTTGCCCCGGTCGATATATGACAATAATAATATTGTAATATCGTTATCGCAGCGATGGTATTCGGAAAACAGAATTCCGGGACGAGCACGGCGGCCGTGCTAACAAGATCTGACCATTAGGCTGGGCCCGGGCGTGAGCCGATGACCGACTGTCGACGATTGCGGGTCGGGCGTGAACGTCGTCATGCTGATGGTCACCGAGCTGCTGGTCGTCGGTCGGGACGACATTGGCGGATCAGCGGAACGATCGCCCGTGTACAGCGCTTGTCAGTCTGGGTCGTGGTGGTAGTCCAGCCAAGCGATAGCGCCCACCGCGAACAGCACGAGAGACGTCAACGTCAGATGAACGATGGCCATCCAAAACAACGTAGGATTAGAGCTGAAAAATTAAAATCGATGTCATCATTATTGTTGTTATTGCAATGGCGCGGCCGCGTGCGATTTACGAAACGCTGACCGGTGCATTCATTATACGAGACAATATTATTCGGTCAAACTGCGACCAAATAGACCTACCACAAAATAACAGCGTAATGYCGATTGTCGACGCATTATTATTATCAAGTAAAAAATATTTTATGTTTAGAAAGTTAAATCAATAAGTATTACTCGAGAGGAATAGTGGGTGCGTGATTTTGATTGTTAACAAACAATTTGTAAATTACAGTTCTTGTGTTCGAAGAGCTGCAGCTAAATAATTATGTAATATATTCGGAAAAATTGATATATTTATTTTATTATTTAACGGTTCTATTCGCTACTTTTGCTATTATTTAATATATTTTCTGTTTCATTCCCATTGACTTTATACGTATATCCGCGTGCGCGCGCGCGCGTGTGTGGGTGTGTTAGTACCTAAAAAATGATGAAGGTATTTACAATTTTGAAGCGTTACCATCGGATCAAAATACTGCGCTTCAATTTAGATTACACGTAAAATAACTTTAATAATTGTGTTTATTATTATTTTATTATAGAATATGTATATTTGTTATTGTTGAGTCAAAAAGGATAATTATTTTGATATTGTTATATTTTAAATACGTTTATCTTTTTAGTTGAGTTTTACTTCACGAGAAATTACAAGATTTTACGTAACCTACCGTATTTATGTATAAACGGAACTGTTTATCATCTATCTTTATTATATATTCGTATACGATATTATTATTGATATCACAAAATCGGCTTAAATTTATGTATATATAGAACTACTAAACTGCTGAAATATAGGTATTATATTGTACGTGGTTTTTAAACGGTTTAATCGGCTGATAGAGAATGATACTTTTTTTCAAGATTTTATCCCGWTACGTTTGATCAATGGTATTATGCATATTGAACGAGTGAGACGATTGATGTAAAACAGCAAAAATATTACAATCTAGAAAACCGATAAAATCAAGTCTAATGCTCTTTTTGTGTCTTGTAGACATTGGATTATGGTTATAAATCGTTCTAAAGACGAACACTTTGACATATAATAATATTAAAAAAAAAAAAGCATGTATGATTTGAAACGAAATTGTACCTATCTACTTATAAATATAGGAATTGATGGATAATATAGTAGTACTAGAAGTCGTTCCAGATATTCATACATAATATTTATTTGTCAGTGATTGACTAAATTTCAACCTTTAGCACTTTTAGATTACAATTTTATTGTTATTGTTGAATAATATTACGTCAAGAATAAAAACTAGAACATCCGTATAAGTATTCCGAATATTCGGGTGAATGAAATATTACTACATTCAAAAAAATATATTATTTAAATGTGTACAAGTCACGATGTACTCATAYAATAAAATGTTTATACAATGTGGAAGTGTAGATAAATCTGAAAAACCTGTGCACAGTGWGATATTTTCGTAAATACTTCGTAAAAATAAAAAATGCATACACAATTACATATTAATTTATTGATTAAATATTATCGAATGACGTAAACTAAAATATATATGTTATCTTTCTTTTTTACTAGGCATTTAAACTTCTTTAGTGTTTATACTTTATGTTTATACTTAATCGATAATATTGCGTTTGTGTTTTGTTACCATAATCATTATTTATTATTATAAATATATGTGAATAATTTTATTTGAAAATTGTGTTCATTTTTGGACATACATACTATAAAAATAAAATATATTTCATATAGTCAGTTTACGACATGTAAAAGGACGGCACCCACTTGTAAAAACCATTTGACTTGAAAAAAAACTAGGTATTCAAGATTCATTCACGGTTAAAAAMCAAATTAATACGTGAAAAAGAAAAACATTTATTGTGTCGTACAGTTTTCATGTATTTTTTAAAATTATTAATATAAAAATGTTACAAACTTTTTAAAATCGTTTCACATTTCAATGTATGTTTTAATTTATTTATTTTAGGGTAATATATTAACGATACCAAAAAAAGATGAACATTTTCTGACACATGAAGTATTATTTTTTATCATTTATAAATTTACTTTCTTAATGCATTGACTGACGAATTTCATAGTCCCATCAAATGCAAATTATAAACATTTAACATATTATGATACTAACAAAAAATTATACGTCGCGATCAACCGAATTCAATTGGGTGTTTAGTCTGTTTAATCAAACCTTAAATAATAATTTAAATTAGTGTWAGTTATAATAATTTATGTCAATGGTGCGTATATGCGGACCGATCGGGTGAAAAACTGTTATACATGCCGCTGACCTATGGATGAGACAAATGAAAAAATGAATGGTGGAGTGGAGACGATATTGCAAAGTACAAAATTTTATACCAACGATAAATTTCAATCTTAATGGTCGTTCATAATGTTAATAATAATAACGATAAAAATATATAATGATAACGAAGCACCCATTAAAGRCCTGTGTAAACAGATCTGTCTGGTTAACGGGCGATGCGCCGGGATTCGCGGACTGCCGTCAGAAATATTAATAACAACAAACAAATTCAAGTGCAGACAAATAATAATAATTTTTACTWTAATAATAGTATAGGCATAGRCGCAACTAGACCTCTAAAACGTGGGGTGCTATACTATTAAAAACATAAAATTGAYGTTATTTCATTATAATTATAATAGTTAGATCTAAAATATCAAGCAGGGGTGATAAATTAGAACTTGGGGGGTGCTAAAGACCTTTTTGCACCCCCCTAGTTGCGCCAATGAGTATAAGCAGGCGCGTAGCCGGGGAGGGTGGTGTTACAGGTGTAAT